TTGTCCCAGTGGTGGGAATCTTTGTTTTCTTGTTGTTGAGCTTCAATTCACATTGAAGACTGCAGTCCTTGAGTTTCTGCAGCAGATGCTTCAAGTCTTCCGAGTTTCAGTGAGCAGGGTTGTGTCATCTGCATGACACAGGTTGTTGATGATTCTTCTTCCAATTCTAATGCCATATTCATCCTCACAAAGCCCAGTCTCTCAAATGATCTGTTCTGCTTATAGATTAAAAAGGTATGGAGACAGGATGTATCCCTGATGCACTCCTTTCCTGATTTTGAAATATGCAGTGTTTCCTTTCTCTGTTTTGATGACTGCCTCTTGAGCCAAGAATAGGTTTCACATGAGCACAATCTGGGGTTATGGGATTACTGTTCTTCTTTGTTTAGCTACTATTTTTTGTGATCTACACAGTCAAATGCTTTTGCGTAATCAATGAAAAAAAAGATAAGCATTCTTCTGGTACTCTCTACTTTTAGACAAGAACCACCTAACACAGGAAATGATGTCGCTAGTGCCATGATGGCCTCTTCTAAACTCAGCTTATATTTCTGATGGTTCTTGTCAATGTACTGTACCAGTCATGAGTTGTTGTTTTTTTTTCTTTGATTATTTTGTTTGTTTGGTTTCTCTTGTTTTATAACCTTCAGTAAGGTTTTGGGTTTTTTTTATTCTTTTATATGAAATTATTTATATTGTTTGATCATTTTCATACTCTATCAGATGACACCCCTCTTTCCTTTTTTTTTGGAATGGTAAATATACATCCCTTCCAGTCAGCTCACCAGGTAGACATCCTCTGGATGGGCATGATTAATGTTTTGTTAGGGAGCAATGGTGGCCAAGCTGCACTGCAATCTAAAGGCACGTGGTTCAATCCACCAGCTGCTCCATAGGAGAAGAATGGACAATCTCCCCCCATGTGATTTATTGTCTCTGAAAAACTGCCAGAAAGTCAGCTATGGGTCAGTTCTGTCTTGACAGTAAACAACAACGTTTTACTATTTCACAGTACTTGTTATTAGGTGCCATCAAGTGTTCTGAATCATATCAACATGTATAAAAGATTAAAACTTCCCTCTCCCTTGTTTCTGCTGTCCTTGAGCTCACTGTGGAAAGCCACTGTTGAAATCTACATCATAGAGGTTAGTTCACGTCTTCATTGATCTTTCACTTTACCAAATATGGTGTCCTTCCCTGGAGATTGACCTCTCCTGCTAACAAACTCAAAGCATGTGAGACCAAGTGGCACCACCCTACTTTCTAAGGAACATTCTGGCTGCACTTCTTCCAAAGCAGATTTGCTTGATCTTTAAGGCAAGTCATGGTATTAGTCAATACTCTTCATTAACACCACAATTCAAATTTCTTCCTTGGTCTGCTTTATTCATTGTCCAACTCTCACACACATATGAGATGACTGAAAAGCTATTTTCATCTATATCACGGTCTATCTCAACGAGTTTGCATTAAATTAGATGGAAGAAATTCACACACGTCTCTGGACCAAAATGAACTGGGAGACACTGAAATACTTCAGGAACTAAAAATCTTATAACCATTCTATTTTCTTTCAAGTCCTTCACACTTACTGGGACGTGTTTATAATTATTCTTTGTAAAATTTTCTATCTCATTTTCCTGAGCACAGTTCAGGACTCAGGACTGGTGGGACCTGATGCTAGGAGAAATGGCGCCACCGGGGTCAAGCACTGTCTTCCTGTTGGCCCTGACAATCATAGTGAGCACGTAGGCCCTGACACCCACTCACTACCTCACCAAACATGATGTGGAGAGACTGAAAGCTTCATTTGACCACCTCTTCATAAATTTGGAATCTGCTTTCTATTCCATTATGGGACTCAGCCACCTTGGTGTCCTGGTGCCAGATGTAAAGAAAGCATGCACCTTCGTTAAATTCAACCTTGATCCCAACAATATGGATTCCCTTTTCTATGCCATCCAGTCCAGCCAGGCCCTCTCAGGGTGTGAGATCTCTTTCAAATGAGACCAAAGATCTTCTTTTGGAAGCTGTCAGCAAAGACTACTCTGTTACCCAGATCTACCACAAAGTTGCAGCCCTGAGTGGCTTCAGCCTCCCCTTGGCATCCCAGGAGACTTGGTGCCTTGACCACTCATCTCACCAAGAAAGAAACTGTACTAGCAACAATCCAGGCTCTCCAGACAGCTTCCCACCTGTCCCAGCACCCTGGCTTAAGGAGCATCGCGGAAGTATGAGGATCTTGTTGCTCGCTTGGATGAACTGGAGGGCGTATATCCACAGTTTGAAGAAGGACTGGAAACAATAGCATTATTTGTGGCCACCACATACAAGCTCATGGGCCATGTGAGCACTGAGCCATCCATTAAGGAGGCTCAGGTAATCCAGGTGATGAATACTATCTATCATCAGCATTTGACTCACTCTCTGAAGCCTTCAGCATGTCCTGTGCTGCCACTCTGCTCTCCCAGAATTGCTACCATGTACCAGTTCTGGTTGTACCTGAGGGCTCACCCTCCTACATTCCAGAACAGGCTGCCCTCTGGTGCAGTTCACCAATGTGCTGTCCCAGCCTCTGACTCAAGCCACTGTTAAACTTGAACATGTTAAATCCATCCCTTGTAGAGCTACTGTCCTTCAGGAGATGCCTTTCACCCCTGCAGTGGATGGTTTTGAACTAAGCTTCAAGAATGTCAAATTTTTCAGTGGTTATTATTACTTCTCTGTCAAAGTTGAAGGTGACAGCCATTATATTGTAAACACTATAGAGCTGAGAGTCAAGATCTCCACTGAAGTTGGAATCACAGATGTTGATCTCTCCAGAATAGATAAGGACCAGAGCATTGCTCCTAAAACTACTCAAGGGCACCTTCATTGCTGACAGCCGCCAGAATTTTGCCTTGTTCTTCCAGCTGGTCAATGTGAACACTGGCACTGAACTCACTCCTCACCAGACTGTCATCTGACTTCATAACCTGAAGACTGGCCAGGAAGTGGTGCTCGTTGCTGAGCCAGACAGCAAAAATGTGTACAAATGTGAACTATATATCTCTGAGAGAAAAATAGAATTTGATTCTGCCCCTGGCACCTATACCCTCTACTTGATCAATGGTGATGTCATTTTGAAGAACCCAACCTGTGGAATGTGGCTGATGTGCTCATCCAGTTCCATGAGGAAGATGCTCCATCATCTGTCCTGTCCAAGAACATTTCCACTCCCAGACAGGAAACCCAGCACCTGTTCCGTGAGCCTGAGAAGAGGCCCTCATAATGGTGTCCAACACCTCACCACCGGTATTCTCTCCCCCTAGCTCCTGCCCCTTGTTTTGTGGATATAGATTGGTGCCAATATCTCCAACTTCACTTTTGCTCCTAGCACGATTATCTCTCACCTGAGACA